GCGCCTGGCGCCCCCCCCCCCCCCCCCATCCCAAGCGGCTGCCCCCCCCTCCCCACCCACAGCGGCCCCCCCGGCGGGGCGGGGGGGCCATGGAGCACCGGCGCCGGTAACCACGGCCTGGCACGAGGACCCCGTGACGCGACAGGAGCCAGGTAGGGCCCCACCCCCAGCACACCTGGATGGCTTCGGAGGTGGGGAGGGGGGGGTCTGGGGGTGTCCCTGGCCTGGATATGGGGTAGGGGGAGTTCCCTAAAAGGGGGGGGCTTTGGAAGGGGGTGCTTATAACGGGGGGAGCCCTATAACGGGGGGTGCCCTATAATGCGGGGGTGCCCTGTTTTGGGGGTGCCCTGTTTTGGGGGGCGCCCTATAACGGGGGGAGAGTCCCTGCCCTTTCTATGGGGCCAGCTTTGGGGTCCTGCTCCCCCTTTAATACTGGGGCGGGGGGGCTCCTGTGCTATATTTAGGATCAGAACCTCAAGACCCCAAGGAGGACCTGGAAGGGGGGGGGGCTACACCCCCACAACCCTGACACCCCCCACCCCCTACCCCCCCACAGGCCACCCGTCCACCCATGGCCCCCCCTCCCCCTTCCCTGCCCGTCCCTCCCGTAGCCCGGGCAGCTCGGGGGGGGCCGCCCCGCCTGCTGAGCGCCGCCGCCGCCGCCCTGGCTCTGCTGAGCGCCGCCGCCGTCGGGGCCTGCCCGGCCGTTTGCCGCTGCTCCGGGGGCCGCGTCTACTGCAACGACCGCGGGCTGACGGCCGTGCCCGAGGGGCTCCCGCCCGGAGCCACCACGCTGTTCCTGCAGAACAACCGCATCGGCGACGCGGGGATCCCGGCTCGGCTGGGCCGGCTGCCGGCGCTGCGGGTGCTGTACCTGTACGCCAACGCTCTGGAGCAGCTGCCGGCTCACCTGCCGCCGGCTCTGCGGGAGCTGCACCTGCAGGAGAACAACGTGCGCGGTTTGTGCCGCCGGGCGCTGGCGCGGGCGCCGCTGCTCGAGCGCCTGCACCTGGACGACAACTCGGTGTCGGCGGCCGGCATCGAGGAGGACGCGTTCGCCGAGAACCGACGGCTGCGCCTCCTCTTCCTCTCGCGGAACCACCTGAGCAGCGTCCCCGCGGGGCTGCCGCCCGCCCTGGAGGAGCTGCGGCTGGACGACAACCGCATCCACACCATCCCGCTGCGGGCCTTCGAGGGGCTGCCGGCGCTGCGGCGCCTGGTGCTGGACGGGAACCTGCTGGCCAACCAGCGCATGGCCGACGACACCTTCAGCCGCCTGGGCAACCTCAGCGAGCTCTCGCTGGGCCGCAACGCGCTGGCGGCTCCGCCGGCGAACCTGCCCCGGGCTCGGCTCCGCCGCCTCTCGCTGGCCGCCAACGCCATCAGCCACGTGCCGGCCGGAGCCCTGGCGAGGATGAGGGCGCTGGAGCGGCTGGACCTGTCGGACAACAACCTGACCACGCTGCCGCGGGGGCTCTTCGACGATCTGGGCAGCCTGAGCCACCTGGGGCTGCGCAACAACCCCTGGTTCTGCGGCTGCAACCTGGCCTGGCTGCGGGACTGGCTGCGCCGCCGCGCCCCGCCGCGCCTGGAGGTGCGGGGTTTGCTGTGCCAGGCGCCGGCGAGGCTGCGGGGGCTGCCGGTGGGCGAGCTGCGGGGAGAGATGGACGCCTGCGAGACGCCCCCGGCCTCGGGGGGAGCCGGAGCTGCGGGCGGGGGGACGTCCCCCGGTGCCGCCGCCGTGTCCCCCGCGCTGGCCGCGTCGCCGGGAGCCGCCGCCACGCCGGGGCTGTGGGTGCAGGCGGCGCCGGGGGGGGCCCTGAGGGTGCGGTGGCCCCCGGCCCCTCCCGGGGCGTCGCTGAGGCTCAGCTGGCTGCGGCCCGGGGGGGGAGCCGTGACCGAGACCTTGGTGCGGGGGGAGCGCGGCGAGTACGTGGTGCGGGCTCTGCAGCCCCGCGCTCCGTACCGGGTCTGCCTGGCCGCCCTGGAGCCTCCCGCCGCCCCCCCGCTCTGCGCCCAGGCCCGGGCGGGGGCCGGGGACCCCTCCCAGCCCGGTTCTCCCGGAGCTCCGGCCGGGGATGCTCCCCCCGCGCTGCCCCCGGCCGCGGCTCTGGGGGCGGCGGCGGCGGCGGCGGCCGGGGTGGTGCTGGGGGTGCTGGGGGGGTGGTGGAGGAGGAGGAGGAGGAGGAGGAGGATGGGGCTGGGGGGGCCGCCGCTGCCGCCCCCCAAAGGCGGCGGGGGGGGGCGGCCGGCGCCGGGGGC